AGAAGTCCTTATGGCCAAAAAAAATTTCATACTATTGAGGCTCTGAGGGGTGTTTAGGTCAACTCAACCACTGAAATAGGGATGTAAAAACCATTTAAAGCACTCAACATCTCAAATCTCCCTGAGAAACATGGATTCTATACTATTATAGGATACAATGCAATTTAGTACCTGCATCTTGCCTCCATCAAAAAATATTGTCAATGCAAGTGCACTTACACCAGGTTGAACTTAGATGAACTGCTGTGCAAGGGGTGTTCAACCCACTAAATCCCAACATGACCTTGTTTTTGGGTCATAAGGATTCTTGAAGCCTCCCCCCCTCCACTGCCTATATATAGTAAAATTTTCCCACACTTTGGAGGATTTCCGACTTCAAATTTGTATTACATAACAATTTTTTCTCCTTTGCACCTTTGAACAACATTTCCACAGGCAATTTAATACACAGCAGTTCATCTAAGTTCAATTCAACCTGGTGTAAGTGCACTTGCATTGACAATATTTTTTGATGGAGGGGCTAAATTGGTACTAAATTGCATCATATCCTATAAAATCCATGTTTATCAGGGAGATTTGAGATGTTGAGTGCTTTAAATGGTTTTTACATCCTTATTTCAGTGATTGAGTTGACCTAGAACACCCCTCAGAGCCTCAATAGTATGAAATTTTTTTTGGCCATAAGGACTTCTCAAACCCCCTCCCCCCAAGGTCATGTCAGCACAATTCAGAGGTAGAGTGTGAGATTGCAGTGGCCCTTCCCATAAAATAATCTTGAAGTTGTGTATTCAAACCACACCGCGGACTGGTTTGGACAAAGAACTTCATTGTGCTAGCCGACTGCGGAGTATTTCTTTTTTGACTGAACTCTAAGAAAGTGAGCAGAAGGATTAAGTCCTCTTTTCTCAACATCTCAACCATCCAGTTGCACCCAGAAGTCAGAATGTCCAGAGCTTTGGAATGTTAGTAAAACCTTTGAGTATTTGGAGCAAGTACTTCCATATACTGGTTGGCTGAATTTACCAAATGTATGTATCTCTCACAAGGTACTGTACCATTCCAATTGAGAGTTCATTGATTCTGAAATTTTTGACAAAATAAATATAAAACAAATCCAGAAAATTGAGAAAAAATTAAAACCACACTCTGATTTTTGAGGGTGATAGATGACAGAACTCTCAATCCAAATGGTACAGTACTTTACTCATTATGAACATAAATACTTGCTGACCTGCAGGAGCAAGTTTGGAGAATGGCTGGTACCAAACAACCAAGTCACATTTTGATGTGTTGAACTTAGTGAAATTTTGATTTCTCCCCACCACTACCTCTGCGTGAATAGCTTGTCCCCTCCCTCTTCTCCTTGATATGGACCATAATAAGGTAATATCAGGTGTGTTGATAATTCTTACTCATGAATATGGCTCACAAGATTGCTTGCTGCAGCAATCTTGTGCTGTTATCTCAAATCCAGGTACCATTGAGTGCAAACATTGTGTCTCAATGATTCATCCTATTTTTTTGGATAATGGTAAGTCTACTTATACATGTAAATTCAAGGTAAATAAGTGCTTTCCAGCCCAATTACTGGCAATTTTTGGTGGTGAAGAGCACAATAGTCACTCCCAAGGCAATAAAGGATTGTTTCAATGGTGGATATAACTTTTTAATACTTTAGTATGTCTATTCCCTTCATCTTAAGTCACTTTTTCATCTTGGATTTTTGGTGATTTCAGAAGCAATATTCAGTTTTTCTTGCTCTAAAGCTCTCCTGTTTGATATTTAATGCCAATTTCAGCTAGAGAACATCTGCAATATCTTCTGGATCTACTCCAAGTAGTGATGGACACAAGTCCAGATCCAGGTCAACCTGGATCCTCCAGACAGGTACCTGCAACCTAAAAAGGGTGACCTGTGACATCAGGAAAAATGGTCTGGGCCCAGGATGACCCCAGGTCGATTAGGCAGCCTAGGCCACCTAGGAATAATGAAAGAATTTTGGACACCTCAGGTAACCTAGGCTTCCTAGGCTTCCTAAGCCTCCTAAGCCTCCTAGGAATTCTGAGGGTATTCTCAGGCTGCTTAAGTGACCTGGGGTCATCCTGGGCCCAGACTATTTTTCCTGATGGACCTGCCCTGGATCCATGGGAAACAGGTCCCTGTGCTCACTGCTGACCTGGAAGACAGGTACTTGCAGGTATACCTGCTGATAAGGTAGGTGTCAGGCACAAGCGGGTACATCACATGCCTGGGTGCTTCCATAGCAAAAATACAAGAAAATGTATCAAAAAATTGACTTGTCTTCATTTTAGAAATCCAGCCCCAAGGATTCCTTCCGATGATCTAAACAGAGGACTCCTTGAAGCCATATTTTGAATCTTGAGTCTTGGTGATTTTCTGATACATTTTTGATGGATTTTGCTATGGAAGTGCCCAGGCATGTGATGTACCCGCTTGCACCTGACACCTACCTTACCTGTATTTAACTTAAATACAAATAATGTATTACAAGTGAAAAAAATATATTATGTTGCACAAAGTGTCCAACAACTGCAATGAAACATTTATTGTCAGTCTACAAGTGAATAAAGTGCCAATTAATACAGTTCTAGTATTCTTTCTAAGTTACATTGAGTACTAATAATTGTGTTGTATCACTGGTACTTAGTTATCAGTACTAATCCAGTATCAGCATACTAATAATACCAATAACTAGCACCAGTACTGATATTAGTATCAATAAATTAATAGTAGAGTTAGTGTTATTATAATAAAACACCAGTTACATTAGTATTTAAGCACTAATTTACTAATGTTAATTCTACTAACAGCAATTCTATTCAGTATGTGCTAATATTAGTCCTAAGGCTTATGGAACTCTAAACAGCATAGTATATATGATACAAAGTGTGATGCACTAGCACATTCACCCTTTCTCCCTGACTGACAAGCAGTTATTTGCATATTAGCCTTGAGATTGAGGCTTACTTCATTCAAGCTACCATTTAAGTCTAGCAAAATTTTTATTTACCGGATCCACAGGTACCTGCAGGTCATGAAAAACTACTGAAGGCTGACCTGTGACCTGGGCCGGATCCATGGGAAACAGGTAGCGGGATCCGTGGGTATTTGCCTGTGGGTATTCCCACGGGTATACCTGCAGGTACCTGTTCCGGATCTGGACTCATGTCCATCATTAACTCTGAGAAACACTTGTGCAGAACTTACATCAACGTCGCCAATTTTGTTGTTTTGGACCATCTTCAACAAATATCTCATCTTGTGCATGTATTTCTTATAGTCATGGGCAAGAATCATGACTCTATCTGACTCTTGACTCTTTGCTAGGATACTCTTACTCCAAAACCCATGATCTTAACTCTAGCCATGAGTAGAATCACCTAGAGTCAAGAGTCAAATCAATCCAAGGATACTCTAGAGTAAACATTGAATAACCTGTTAAGTGTTCTATTAGATGTATTAAATATTAGTATACAACCTTCAGCATTAGCAATATTGATGTTTCAGACACATTTCACTAACAATATATCATATACAACACATAGCAAGTATTGAAGAGTATCCTTGCTAGAGTATCCTAGGTCCCAAACCAGGTGATTCTAACTCTACTCCAGAGTAGAGTCATGATCCTTTTTTTTGTAGTATGACTCTATCCTAGAATCATTTCCTAGGATCATGACTAGAGTATCCTTGATGATTCATGATTCTTGCCCATGACTAATTTCTTATTTACATACCTATAATACTGATATTCTGACTCAATGGAACACTAAAATTCCAGCCATAATAGTTTTATAAGGTTCACAGCTAGGGACAGAGTTTCGCAACAAAAACTGTCTATTTGAAATAGATGAACAGAACTGGCCCTGCGAGTCAATGGGTGCCTGATGGCAATAGTCACAGTGATGGTGGTGCTTAGAAAACTTGATCACTCTCGTCAAAGCATTTCTACGCTCTTTAACACATTGGAATCTTTTCCCTGAGCATACCAGATTATGATATAGATCCTATGTAATATATCTCCCAGTCCATTTGTCCCTGGAATGAGCTGGACATATTTTATGAATGGTATAAGTTAAGTATAAGTTGAGCTTCAATTTCCTGGAATGTGTAATTGAACATGCAAATTTTATTGCAATATTGTATCTTCTCCTCATAAGTATGTACACGTTCCTCTTTAGCACCTTCTAAGTTACAGCTTTTTCTCTCAAAGTAAGAGATTCGGTCTGAGATCGCAAGTTCCATGAACTCAAGAAGACTCCCGGCGTTGCGGCAAGCCCCTTCTAGTGATGGTTAGCCTATGGCGTTCCGGGCCGGGACCGAAGGGCTCAAAACGAACCTATGTTCTTCAACTATGTCAGCTATATATAATAAAACTCTGCATGTACTTACTTCCTCGATCTCTCCTTCCAGCTCTGCCGCTCTTTTGAGTAGCCTAGAGCTTCTGTCTTGCGTGTTGAGACGTTGATTGGGATCATCAACTTCGTATATGCAAAACTACAGGGATTATCATCAACTTGAGTCAAAATAAATGAATTCGAAATAAATTTACCAGCCCTAGCTCGGTGCAACGAGCGCAAGTAGGTCTTTTTCTATCACACTGTCAAACGGTCAGTTTTTCAGGTCGGTCTACTACGCTTTGGTGGCTGACCATTCGTTTGGATCCATGGCAGCTAAGACACGATAGTATCGCTCTATTTCTTCTTCTGGCACAACAATGAGCATGACATCGTAATACGGTGAATTCTATAGCTATACCTTTTTCCATCGTGGCCCTTAGTTGAAGGCTGAGTTCTGGAAGGAGGCTGAGCTCTTTGTTGCTTGGCGGCAGTGTTTGTAGACATGGGTCGATAAGGGGTAAATGTTGAATGTAGCATGAGTGAGCTCCTGTATTTCTATGGGACTTGATTATGACCTGTTATGACTCGATACAATACACCATTCCGACTGGCTCTGATAAAACTTAGTCTCACAACCACGTCCGCGTAACTCAGTGGTAGAGTGGCGATGGCCCTACCCTTGAAGTCGCGTGTTCGAACCACTCCGCGGACTGGTTCGGACAAAGAACATTGCGTTCCTTATTGCGGAATATCTATTTTTTGACTGAACTCTAGGAAAGTGAGTGGTAGGGGTTAAGTCTTATCCCCCTTTTCCGATCATCTCAGCCATCCAGCTGCGCCCAGAAGTCAGAACGTCCGAAAGCTTCGGAATGTTAACAAAACCTTTCAATGTTTGGAGCGAGTACTTCCGCACCGGACGTACTAGCTGGCCGAATTTTTACCAAATGTATGTATCTCTCACAAGTTACTTTACCATTACGAACATTTAATGTAGTACACTATTATACAAACCGAGCCAAATTCATATCAATACAGGTATTCGTGATTTTACCCCCTAGTACGATGTCACCAGGACATCAACGAGTCGTTTCCTAGACTAGTAATCCAGTGATCCAAACGAGAAGTTGGATGCACGGAAGGCAGGAGATGTTGTTGAAAAAGATGAGTGCAGAGCTGGCGATTTGCTGTAGGATGGCATCCTGGGATGAGGCGAATCAACAGACGAGAGAGTCTCCCTAACATTCAATGTATGAGTAAGGCAATTCTAAAAAAGTACAATAAGAACCTACGTCGTTATAGTATCTAATTCCACAAGGGTTTGATGAAGGAGACAGTATCTCCCGGCCTGATGGAGAGGATATTGTTTCAAGATCCCAGCTGCTTTGCGGAGGCGCAAGGAGAGTTCGAGCATTGTTTGATAGTTGGAGGCTTCCTCAATACAGTTGCAAGGTTGCATGTCATTATGCTGGGAAGAGTTCGTTGCGGAGATGGTATTCAATCGGTTGTGCATCTCGACATTGTTCTCCGAGAACCCTATAGAAAGGGGATTCTGTCCAAGAATGGAACTCAGTTCAGAGTCAGTGAGCTCGGTGCCGGCGGACGCATCGTTAATCCCAACATTCGAAGGTGGGATAGAAGACGCGCGCATAGAAGGTGAGATGAGTGCCTGGAAGGCTGATAAATCTCCCAAAGAAGACGCCGGGGAGGAAGGATGAGAGATATATATATTTGTCTGGTCACCACATTGTCCAGAGAACTCGGATAAGCGTTGCGATTGACGTTTTTTGTTCTTTAACTATGTGAAAGTTTGTTAGCTATATATAATAAAACTCTGCGCGTACTTACTTCCTCGATCTCTCCTTCCAGCTCTGCCACTCTTTTGAGTAGCCTGGAGCCTCTGTCTTGTGTGTTGAGACGTTGATTGGGATCATCAACTTCGTATACGCAATACTAAAGGCATTTTATTAACTTCAGTCAAACTAAATCAATTCGAGATAAATTTACCAGCCCTAGTTCGGTGCAACGAGCGCAAGTAGGTCGCTTTCTATCACACTGTCAAACGGTCAGTTTTTCAGTTCGATCTACTCCGCTTTTGTGGCTGACCATTCGTTTGGATCCGTGGCAGCTAAGACAAGATAGTATCGCTCTATTTCTTCTTCTAGCCACAACAATGAGCATGACGCTGTAATACGGTGAATGCTAGAGCTATACCTTTTTCCATCGTTGCCCTCAGTTGGAGGTTGAGTTCTGGAAGGAGGCTGAGCTCTCTGTTGCTTGGCGGCAGCGTTTGTAGACATGGGTCGATAAGGGATAAATGCTGAATGTAGTATGAGCGAGCTCCTGTATTTGTATCAGATTAGATTTTCAATAGCTCAAAGCGTCATACATATCAAACTCCAAAGAAGCAGAGGATGTTACTCCTATTGGCCCCACGATACCCGCAGGAAAAGAACCAACCGAGCCGATATATTGAAGACAGACGGCAGAAGACAGATGGCAATCTTTCTCAGGACAAACAAAGCTTCAGCCAAGTAAAAGTCGGGCGGCAAAGAACCAATTATATCGCAGAGATGCTTCGGCTCCGCGTTGTGGAGAAGACCACAGATATAAGCATGGTTTCTCTAATCATGTATTGTGACAAGTTGTATCTGAAAAGTATGTCGATGTCAAGAAGATAAAATAGAGCATTCACTGCGTACTTCATTTGTTCCTGTTCAGTCTCCACGAGTGACCGGAACGACAGGCTTCTAGTGTACCCTGGAGACGTTGAGAGTAGTTGGGGATTGACATGTATAAGATAGGCCACCTGAAACAGGTCCAATTGTTATTCATTTGGAGTGGGTATCACGGGTAATTCCCAAGATTTTCTGCAGTTCATCAAGGAAGTCGGTGATAGCTTCCCTGCTAACGTGGTTTTAATTGGGCGAGAGTGCCCAGAAAAGAAGAAGCCAGCGAAAAAATGCTATTCAGTCAAAGCCACATGGAACAGAGTAAGCAAGAAAATGATTATCCTCAGGTTCGAAGCTCGTTCGCACCAGCATCATTACTATCCTACGAACGAACGGCTAATCAGCAGTTTCGCCTTGTTTGGAATATAATAGGAATACTCAACAGCTGTGTTAACTTCAAGAGGCGCGTGGCTGGGTTGTCCATACCCACACCGTTATCTCCACCACCAATGGTAAGAAGGGAGCGGAACTCACCATCCAAGTTCTGAATTATTTTATACCATTCGAAAATGCATTGCAAAGGGTCACCCGATGTACCAAGAAACCGCAAAGCAGCACATGTTTCGATCTGGAGCCATAAAAGCCTTTGAGTAGAATGCTGTCCGCAATGGACATGGCCGTGTCGGCGATCCCCACTTGAATAATAAAATTTTGGAATTGACGTCTACATTTGCGGTACGCTGGCGGCTGGCAGCTGCAATAATGAATGATGGACATTGTCGGGAACAATTCGCGAGAAGCATATCCTTACCGATTGGAGGGGCCTAGTTCATTGAGGAGAACGATTGGAGCTAAAGTCCGTTTGGCAACTCGACCAATGCAAATTTACCAGTTAAAATTCTTAAGCTAAAAAGTAACTTCGCCAGATTTGCTCGCTAGAAGAAGCAGTAAAGGTTGAAAGAATCAGAGGTCTCGCTACCGTATTCTACGACGGCGGTTAGCTTTCTGCCTTGGCAGTACTTCCAAGCTTACCAATTATTATGAATCCCAAATCCGGCTGTAGATAATTATTCCCGCTACACCCGCTGAATCTGTCTCTCCATAGCTCCAACAAGAATCAGTGGAGCAGTTGCTTGAATCGGAGGGCCCCGGTATATGAGACCGTTCCCAATAATTCGTGCGGTTAGAGAGAGAACCCGGCCGAACACTGGCTACATAACAATCGTTTCAACCATTGCGGGACGCGTTGGAGTGCATAGCTACGTTGACCGTTCCAAATTTGCTTCAAGTTATTTAGCCACAGGAGGTCAAACGGAGTAATATGTATGCTGAGCTTGAACATTCGGAGATCGCCCATTCATTGTCAATTTTGAAGTCGAAAGGCTAAGACCGAAGAAGGAAAACTGCGAAGAGAGCACAAAGCAGGTTCCAAACAGGATTTACAGCTGTGTGCTGATGAGAGGTCAAGTACGTCCGAGAGCGGCGAAGAGAGATGTGTGTAGATAATATCGAAGCATGAGCGCTAATCCAGATCGAGCGCGGCCCGCTGCCAGTGTTTCTCATTCTAGACCACGACAACCGACAACCGTAGGCAGCCATTCCAAGACGGAAGCTCTAAGAGATGCTTGTAGGATGAAATGTTAGCTTATCTTTGTTACGCCATCTAGATCTCATTTCCAGCGAATTTCTGCTTATTCGACTAGTTGCTCTACAGCGAAGGCGAACGAATACGAATTCCGCAACTGGTTTCTCTGAACAACTAGGAATAGATTCTTAACACGAGAACAAAGCACCTCGATATGGTCAACTGACCATCTGTGCGTCACCGTCCTGCTCTCTTTCTCTTCACATCCGCAAACAAAGAAATCTTTGTCAAGCACAGTTCTCCATATCTGTGCCAGTGCTGTATATAGAGCGTTGCTGCTCACTTATGACAATGGCTTCTTTGTCTCTCTGGGTCCTCGATGGCCTTGAGTGGCGAGCTGGCTACGTCTATAAAAAGTCGAAATAATCTTGGTGCGATTATTCTTTCCGCGTTCATCTTCCTCTTTTCTTAAATAGTTTCCCTTCCTTTCTCCCTCAGCGTCAGCGACGACTGAATTATATCTCAACATAACCAACGTATTGACCCTGACCTCGAGATCTGTGCAAGAAATGCGCATGCGCAACGACGCGTCCGAAACTATTCAATCTACGGTCTCCGTCGTCAGAGAATCTAGGTCAGGTTGTCCCATAATCTTTCTTTTTCGTGCCTAACACGGTGATAAATCCTCAGACGTACGACGTCAGATCTCCGTCCAATTTTTGAAGATAATATCCGCCGTGACAGAAATGATGAGGAGGACTTGACGGAGTCAAGGTACATGCATAGACTCTTATTATCTATCATCGACTTGGCTGATTCCTTCCTCCTAGCTCCAGTATCAGTGACCCCACCGAATCTCAATACAAATCGAAATACCCATCCCTCCTGCAAGAGATCATATGGTCAAAAGTCAATGCCAGAGCTCAGAAGGAGGAGGGTCCGGAGTTGGGCCTATCTATACTGTCTCCTTCAGGTTCGCTTGTTCCTGCTACTTTTCGAATGTTTACATCTGACCGCTTCGTCATGCAGACAGCTCGGAAGAGGATGATTCTGTTACTAGTACGCAAACGCAAACGGATACAGAGAATGAAGGTTCGGATTCTGGTACTAGCATAAGGTGTGTATTATCACCGATATTGAAGAAATACATGACTAATGGCTTTTTTTAACTAGTAGTAGCCAGGAATCTGGCTCGAAATTATGTTCTGCAAGTAGTCCATGCTCTGCTACGAGCACCAGGTGAATATCAGGATGTTCGCTAGTGGGCGACTGAATGTAACTATTTATCCATTTTTCTCACTAGCGATGGCGATGATATTGAACCTTCATCCTCCGTCAATCCAGTCTCAGAGGAACCGGAACTGGATGCTTATTGTCTCCACAACTCGTACATGGCGGAGGAGCGGAAGCAAGAGCTTGAAGTTGACGAGGATCAGGATTGCTCGTCTATCTCTCCCT